TCAGTCTGAGTGAGAGGACTATGACTCGTGGAAATCAGTAGTGACTCATATTACAATGTCCAATAAGCATTGGTCATGGTGTCATATCGCCGTTAATCAGAAAAAAGGGGCAGCGATCCAAAACACATAAAATAGCACGTGAGGGCAAGATAGAACGCTCACGAGAACCAGTTCTGAGATGACTGTTACACAAGTCGTTTATTGCCGGGTTAAGGCCTTTGAATCGACTCCACTCATCAAATACGTTCTTCAAATTTTCCACCACCCTCAATTTATGATTTTCTCTCTTGTGAATTTCTGTTCTGCTTCCAAAAAGGGCAAGGAGGAATAATGGCTGAACTATCGTATCCGACGCTTATTTGTTTCTACACTCTCCTTGAGATAGTGAAGTTGAACGAGGTGGGGGTGGATAGAGGTGGGCACGGCCAAGGCACTGCATTGCGAAATTTCTGTTTCGGTACTTCGAGGTTCCTCCCCCTTTCGCATCCTACCCACTCTCTTTCTAAATAAATCTCAGACTTCACGAAGAAATGCGTGGTAGCGCGTCGACGAGCCTTATCGCGAAGTATGATCGCACGCTAAACGGGAGAATCAACAATGAAAAGTTTTTCCAGAGCCAAATACGACCCCTCCTTGTGCTAGATCCAACGATGATGAGCCAGATTATTCCATACCCCCCCCACACACACATTTCTTGCGCCTGGCGAGGCCGAGCCCTACTAGAGGTGACCATATTCCGGTGGGAAGGCATAGCTGATCAAGCTCAGCCACGTCGCCGCGTCCCGTTTTTCTCATGTCGTCCGTGATTGCCGTGTGGGTGGAGCCAGACAACATCATTGTTACGTTCCCCTTCCATTTCCCGGTTCTGTCCATCCTAACGGTTTCTCTGTGTGGTCTCATTTTACCACCAGAACAGCTAACACTAGCGTGCTGGAGCACTTTCATCCTTAAGACTATTCGCTGTTGTAATACCTTGCTTTCCTTTCACTACAAATCAACACTGTTCAACTAGTATAAGCCTGTATTTTCAAAAAAAGTTGTTTCTTGGGTAAATGAGCCAAAAGTGCTGTAGATTCATTTATCGGTGAACTGCAGTGTTCAGGTGACGTCACCACAGTCATTACCAAACAGACTATCAATTCAGACGGACATGGAGGACGACGAGAAACAGGTTTGACGCATAATTCCGATTTTTTTCTTTTTCTGCTTTCAAATACAAACTTCTAGTGAAAGCATTTTACGCAACTGATAGCTTAGCGATGAACAACTCCCTGGATTATTTCGAGAGATATTCCGAGAGCGTGTGAATGGACATTTGCCCTCTAACCACAGAATTACTTGTCGACTCAAAAATCTTTGAACCTTGGTTTTATGTTTTGGGGAGTAGTTTCATCCAGCCGTTGAGAAGAAGATTTGCTAAATACTACCCCCTTCAAAATTTCCTGCTCTGGTACGACCCTCCATTAATCCATCCTATTCTATCCTGCCTGTCATCTTCCTTTCTTCCCAGCACTCTTCCCAGTATTCCCAAAATTTGTTCCTTTTCCTGGAAAATGGCGTTGAAAGGAGGGGTGTGGGGGGCGGGGCGGGGACTGGGAGGAGCTCGTCACCAGTCTACTACAAGTTACTACAAAATAGCAGTTAAGTCGTATTTTTGCTGCGACGACATACTAAGGGAGGAGGAATTAAAGGCAGCGTCCATATTCATTCAATGATAATACGCCCTTCGATCGTAGCTTTCTTGACAAGGGCGGAGGATGTACTAATTTCGCAGCTCAAAAATACGAGAGGACGCAACCCGCTTGTGAAGAGGATGCCGCCCCGCCCACCTGGCTGCCATAACTGCTTTGGCTTAGCCTTTAAAGGCTGAGCCCGCTTTCAAGAATAATGAGTTATGGAGCTCATATAATACGTGATCCAGTAGTGAAGAAAAAAGCAGAAAAAAATCATGGAAAATGCCCTATATAGAACCCTATGCTGGCCAGGTGGGCGGGGCGGCCGACTCTTCACTAGCGAACGGCGCTATCCTCTCGCCTTTTTGAGATGCAAAACTAGTACATACTGCATCCTCATAGGGAGGGCTATGATATCCAGAGAGGGCGCGGGAACATCAAATGAACGTGGGCGCTGACTTTAAGTACATAGTTGTCTGTCCTACTTTTGAACAGCTCCTTGGCAATCAGCTGCTCGAGCAAGGACGTGTCTTTGACCGGGCAAAGATAAGAGACAGGTTTTTTTCCAACTCACCGATGTCTGCCACTACCGGGAGAATTTGCTTTCAACCCAAATGAGTGGAAAGTTTGGCTTCGATCAGTTCATATGCGCCCCGCTTTCAACATCGATTAAAAAACTGTAGAGATGTATTGATGGAGTTATGAAGAAATCTGGACG